TTTGGATCATCTTTTATTTGTTTTGCATCTTAAATATCATGTTTGCATTTCTTCTTGACTTGTTTAAGTCAACTTCATCTCTTTCTTACATCTCATTTGTGATTGATTTATCTTGTGTTTTCTTGGTCTTTTGCCATGATCCCTTAGGATTCTTAGTGCCTCCGTTTAGGATGGGAGTAGGAAAGACATTAAGTGTTCAATCCAAGCATGATAACATTAGTATAGTCTTTTTCCCCTCTTATTATCAATCTTAGGAGCATATTGCATGATAACATTAGGGTTGATTAGTTTCCCCTTAGAGTTTGTGTCTTCTCTTCTCATCTCAAAACTTCTTCAAGAGATCTAATAAAGGATAATAATGTTAGACTATGGCACGGATCTAGAAGGGGGGGGGGGGGCGCTACCAATTTAAAATTGGTTTTAAGTGCGGAAGCGGCCGAGGAAAATATAGTCTAAAACAAACGATTATTGGAAAACTGGATATGCGTAAGCCTTTGGATTAATGACAATATGGAAAATAGAATCACAACACTAATCACACTTATCAATGATCTAATTCACTTGTTAGGATTCCTAGTTCCAATGATTTAAAGAGCAAACCAAAACTAGATACACAAGTAAGATAATTTTGGTTTAGGCAATTTGTCAAACACTTGGTGTGCAAAACACTCCAAGTGATATTTGTGTTGAGTAAGTGATTCCAACTAGCCTAGTATAATGTCTTATTGTACTTTGGATTCAAAAACAGAGTTTTAACCTCTTACTCAATTGATATCACAGTTTGACAATAGTGCTTATACAAAAATCACTTATTTTGAGCTATAAAGTAAATGCTGAAAAATAGAGAAGACAAGTATTTGGTGAGGCAGTTCCCCCGTCGTCCTCGCTTCGGGGTACGTCTGCCCTCAATTCTAAAACTAGAATTGAGATAGATTTTATAGATATCACCTGTTGAATACAACAGTTTATACAAGGATTGAGCAGCAAATATACAACAGAAATCTCAATATGTTGAATGTTGCTTTCACTCCTTGCCCCTTGATTCAAGATGAATCAAGTCCTCCGATCGTTGTTGATGAACCTCCGACTCCAGCCACCTTATTGAATAACCCGTTATTGTTCAAACCTTTGGCTCCAGCTGATCTCAACAGCAACAAATCGAACCTGAGATCTTCCCTTCAATATCACTGAATCCGCTACTAGATTATTGAAGAACACCTCTTCACAATCACCTTCATTCAGTCGACCCTTGATGAAGAATCTCGTCCAAAAACCCCCAAAATTCAAACCAATCTTGGAGGGTAAAACCCTAATGGTTTTATTCAAGAAAGAACCTGTCACAAGCTTCAACCCGAACTAGATTACCCAATCTAAGCTTCGAACCTTATCACCTTTAATCACTCACATTGCACTTCAAAAATGGTTGTGTGTAATTGATGTGTTGTGAGATGTTGAAGATGAAGATGATGAATCTTGGACACCTATTTCACTCTTTCTTATTCTTGAACACATGAATCAATTTTGTCAAATGTTAATGTGACATAAGTGGTTAAACAAGTATATATAGTACCAACCCAATTAAAGACATAACAGTATTTCAAATAGTAGAGGAAGTCATTTAAAAACAGAATTTTCGCGCGAACGGTCGACCGCAGCAGGTCTGTGCGTCGACGCATGGCCTGTGTTTTTGGAAATCTGGAAAATGCATCAGTATGCGTCGACCATACAGTCGGCGTGCGCTGACCCGTTGAAAAATATTTCCTTCATGCGCCGACCCTATGGTCGACTCATGCCTTTATGCGCTGACCCATTGAAAAGTGTTCTGATGCATGCGCCGACCCTATGGTCGACTCATGCCCTGCAAACCTGCAAAAAATCATCTTTTTGTGGTTTTTCATGCCTCTGGTCATGATTGCATTTTATCTACACATAGTATATTTATTACAACAGTTTTAAGACAAGTATAAAAAGGATATGGTAGGTGATACGTTGCATCTGTTTAGTAGATCTGGAGTTTATAATTTCCAATCCATCCAAGGTTGTAATTTGTCATCATCGAAACCTGTATTGAACAATGTCTTGTAGACTTGTGTGATGTGTGGCGATTTTCCTCCACAAATAAGTGTTGTACGCTATGAGCCTTAAGTACTTGGGGAATGATAGTTGGGGGACTTCCTCTCAACTGTCTAGAGTGTTTAGCGTATGCCCTTTGGACGATATGCGACACATTCGCTCTCAAGTCATATTCTTTAGTGCAACATGAATTACAAACTTAATTCAATTCACTTCTTCATAAAAAAACACAAAACCAAACATCAAATCTTTTTATCCTTTGGGATTAATTGAAAATCATTTTCAGAAACAGTGTGTTAGCTCTTGGTTCTACCGCAAACAGGTAACGCCTAAGTCTCCAATGATCGAGTAGTAATACACCTAACTGCTAGAATGAAGGTTTAACCCTACTCAGTTAAAACACTTGAACCAATCTGTGGTCGTGTCAGACCGAATTACGTTTGATCTGATTTCTCGTACCAGATGAGGATACGTAGGCACAAGACGACGATGTCTTGGCGAGCAACCTTCCCCACCTTCACCCGTAGTTTTCCGAACTACGTTGACTCTGACTTTCCCATTGCACGAGGGAGTACGTAGGCATAGAGAAGTGATGCTCTATCGAGTCTCTTTTCTTTTCTTTTGTCCCTGTGGCCAGCCTTATAGATTAAAACTCTTTCAGATAGATAACAAGCATGGATCCCGTTGAGTACAACGGACGTGAGGGGTGCTCATACCTTCCCCTTGCGTAACCGACTCCCGAACCCAAGATTTGGTTGCGATGACCTGTCTTTTCCCTTTTTCGTAGGTTTTCTCTGATTGTTTCCTTTCCCTCTCTTTGGGATAAATAACGAACGGTGGCGACTCTTCTGTCCTTGTCGCCCCCCCCCCCCCCCTTTCGCAGCAATGCGACAAAGGAGTAGCAAGATTAAGCAATTATCAACTCTATTATAATATGCAGATTTTTTGTTGTAGGTCGTAATTGTAAAAGCCTTAAGATTTTTTACCATTAAATAACTTAGAAATATTAAGAGCTTTAGGTCTTTGTTATGGTGATTTTCCGTACCTCTGATGCTTGTATTATGTACACCTTATTCTTTATTTTGTTGAGCCTTCAGTAGTTTAGATCAAGTCTCTTACTATGTACTTGAGCAGGAGTCTTGAGCCAAGATGCTTAAGTCACGTAAGTCTCATTTCTTAAGTGCTTGAGTTGTGAAAGTTTTATTCAGCTAGTCTGATTTAGCAAGAATAAGACTCCACCTAAGGAGCGTGAGCAGGAAGTCTCAAGTGCAGCTTGAGTAAGGAAGTCTCAGTCTGCATGACCTTTGGAGCAAGTGGCTCGGTTAGATGACGTGAGTAAGAAGTCTTAGACATGTTCTCTAAGTAAGGGTAAGTTTCAACCAGAGGACCTTTGGAGCAGTTGTCTCGGTCAGAGAGTGTGAGAAAGGAAAGTCTTAGACATGTGCTCTAAGCAAGAAAGTCTCACACAGTTGGTCTGAGCAAGTGTTAAAAACTTATGCAGAAGCATAAGTGATTGTAATTATGAAGTGGTTATAATGAAAATCTCTTGTGAGGCAAGGAGACTGTAGTACTGTCAGTTAGGGGAGGAGCCAGGAAAAATCTTTTGTGTCTTCTTATTTGTTTACTTCTGTTATGTCCGCTGCCAACGAATTTAAATAGAATCTGAACACCAGTTCTGATTCTGAAACTCTGATCAGAAGTTAAATTAAAGAAAACGTGAAACACAATTTAACCCCCCTTCTTATGTACTTTTCACAACTTCAATGTTTTGATGTATGGTGGTCATCATGTTCTTTCTGTTTAAGAGAAGAGATCTATTGGGAAGAAAGTTTGTAAGAATGTCCATAAAATCTTGTATTTTTTTTTATATTTCTAAAATTGGCCAAGTGAGGACTTGGTTAATACATGTGATTGGAAATATTTTGTAGGCAACATGTAAAAGTAGAATTGTATAAAAAAAAATCAAAACTCATTCTTCACAGGACTCCAATTTGGACAAACTTCTAAGGTTAAAGTAGAATTCCATAACAAAAGTTCAAAATTCATCCTTCACGAGACTCTAATTTGTGCCCATATCCTTTTACCTTAAGGATGCGACCACAATGGTCGCAAAAAGTTGTTATAATCGTAAAAAAAATGTCGTTAGAGCCATGAAACGTCATTACAACACTGTTATGCAAGCAAAACTTTCAAAATTAGAATATGAAATTTTAAATCAAAGAAAATATTCTTTATAAGCGCAAATTTCTAAACTAAAATTTCTCTTTACAATAAAAATGAAATCAAATTGTATTATGCAATATTGTGATTAATATCGTGACGACTGCAATTTAGAGTTGGTCAAGACACAACTATAGAATAAATCGTAGAGAATAAGATAAAGAGTGATTATACTCTTAACTTTTATGATTACTATCTATTTCTTTGCTGAGACTAATGAGGTCTTACTTATTTATGGGAGAGAGTTGGCCCGAAGAAATACTATTAAAAGGAAGATCCTTAGCCCCTCCTGATTTTCTATAGGGTTTTAAACCTTTCTTCACATAGTTGAGAAAAAAAACGCCTCCAAAGAAAGAAACAGAAATCCCCAATGCTTCTCCATGCTCAACGAGATGCACCAATCTCAGAATGCTTTACTCCTAATCCCATTAGGCTCCAAGATGGAGCAACCCAACTGTTATATATAATCTTGATCATAATGCAGCTGTTAATATTAACTATTCAAACTTTGCAAATTTCCGATTAAATATTATAAAAGTTCTCTTACAAAATAGTGCATCATAACTCACTATTCATAACTACAATCCTTATAATGGATCCTAATGCAGTCTTCATACGATCAATACCTAACTACTAGTACAATAAAACTAAGTTAATTAGAAATAGAGAGTACTTGAATCCATTCAAACATTAACTTCTGGTGAAGATTAGGAATAATAAGGTAACTTAGGCCAAACTGAGTCAAAATCTTCAACAATGAAAGAACTGTGGTCACGTCCCTCTGCAGCTTGTTGAGTACTGCTTGTGGTTGCTTGTGTCTTATGGACACATGGATATGTCTCTCCTTCTATATTTCTGCATGGAAGCCCTGCTAATATGTTTTCTATTGTCTCTTCACCATATGTTTGTGTCCCAAAATGAGCTTTCTCTTTTAGTTTTTCCTTCAACTCCATAACCTGCTCAGTGATAAAAGATTAATCAAATGAGCATAGTGCAAGAGGTACACATGTGTGAAAAACAAGAGCTTTAGTTACCTCTTTTCGAAGTTTCTGATTTTCTTGCTTAAGCACATCATAGGAATGTTCAAGCTGCTTAGTCTTCAACCTAGTACGCCTGTTTTGAAACCAAACAGTAATTTGGCGAGGTTGAAGCCCTAACTCTCTTGAAAGATTCATTTTCCTCTCAGAATCTAACTTCATATCTTCTTGAAAACACCTCTCCAGAAAATCAATCTGGTCACTTGTCAGTCTCTTCTTCTTATTCTCTCGGTAACAACCATTATTAATCATGTTCATTTCATCATCCATTACATGAAAGAGCCTTTGTTGTGTCTCCCCCAATGTCATCTCACTCACTTCCATTCCTAATATTCCAACATAGACAAATAATTACAACAACCATGCATGCAAGTGTTTTTCAATATATATTTATAAAACCATGCATGCTGATGTTTTTGAATGTATGTCTTTAAATATTTGTGTACTATTCAGATATATATGCTTATAAATAAAAAGAGTATAAATTTCAGTGATTTGAAGATTAAAGTTTTCTTACCAGAATAAGGGTTTCTGATGTTATTGTTGTAGAAGAAGCTTAAAGAAGAGTCTGGATGAGGAAAGAGGGGCATTGTGCTCTCAGAATTCCAATCCATTTTAAGCTTTTCGTACTGATTTCTTCCCTTCAATTTCCATACCCAAAGTCTGTCTGTTTTATGGGCTATTTAGTCGGTTAATATGCATGGACCACTTAGTAAGTGCTGTAGTCAGTACATAGTAATTAGGCGTTTAGTTAGACAGGTTTGCAGTATATAATCAGTGGCTGCAAAATTGAATTTCGAGTCTGATTAAAGTACAAATTTAAACCTCCGGAGTTCGTTCAAATCCTTCAGTTATTGTTATTACACCTTGACACTGTCATTAAATCCATCACATTCAAAACTCATCACACTGACACACGCAAGAAAAAAACAAAAAAAACAGTCTCTTTTTATATTATAAATTTAAAGTCTTTTTTTTTTTATATAAAACAAAAATTATCTACGCACAACTATAAAATGTAACTCTCCTATCAAAGAGAACTAACACTGCTACATGTATAAAACTAATTTTGAACCTAAACTTCTATTTAAGTTAGAAGAGATTCATATGTTTTTTGAGTCAAAGTCTACCTTCCATATTATATTATTATATAATCCATTCACTTTTAAATTTTGAGGTCATATATTATAACATATAAGTATAATTTTTGTTTCTTCAATAAATAAATAAAATCTTACATGCTTTGTTCTTCTTCTTGCAGGTATATATAATTCAATTTTGTAACTGATCTAACTAATTGTATTGAGTCAATACAAGTTAGTTAGTTATTCATCTATAAATACTCAATACTCAGTTCTCTAATAGATGTAACTAACTTTTGCATATTAAAAATTAACCCGATTAGATATTTTTCTCTCTTCTCTTCTCTGTTTTATTTATTCATCACTTTTTCTATTTTTATTATAGTATTTAGAGCTAATCTCAATCGATATTCATGAATTTTGATGGAGACTCGATCAACACTGTTCGAGAATCCTCTTCTCTAACCTTCAATTAAAAGTACGTATTCAAGTCATTTACACAACAAGTAACGCTAAAGCTGAACGAAAACAAATTTCAATCATTAACGCATGAGATTGAAGGTGTAAATCCTAGATAGCAACCTAAGAAATCGTGAATTAGAATTTTCTGACTTTTGTGAGCTTAAGCGCTAATTTTTTAAATTCTTATTTTGGCTGAGGCGAGTATATGATTATTTAATTGGTTCACAAATGATATTCAATAATGAGTAGAAATCTAAAAGTTAGAATGTAAAAGTTAAAATAAAGAGAAAATGTCACGTCATATTTATCCGAGTTCCTCTTTACCGAGTTAAGGGTACATCTAGTCCTTCTATTTGATATCAGAGAATTTTCTAATATGTATCAAAAAAATTATATTAAAAATCTCACACACAAGACTCCTCTCAAAAAAATTCTTAATATTAACTCAAGAAAACACATCACTTCCTATTTTAAACAGCAACAATCAAACATTATGGTAGACTTTGAAACACCCTAACTCAAAAAAATTTCTTCAAAATCACTAAAAACATTATGATGATCCTCATCGGACATTTTGGTAAATTAAAAATCACACTAATTATTAAAAAATGAAGATCTTTTTGAAAGTTGTAGAATCTTCAAATCCAAACTAGAATTAAAAACTTCTTATTAATATCACTCTCAAATTAATATCTTTAATGCTTAAAACTTTATTACTTTTCAAACTATTAATCAAAGTTTCAAAACTTGAAAATAAAACCACTTAAAAATGATATTTTGATTCTATAAATTTGTTTGAAAGTTCTTAATCAGTTTCAGAAATGTAAACCAGTATTTATATGTTCATAGAAGATTCCATGAAACGATATAGCATTTTGGAAAGGTGTCGTGAACCATTACAATGCTTAAACATGACACTGGTTCAAGCGAAAATGTGTCCCAACAGGATGTAATCCATTACAGAAACGTGGTAATCGATTACATGTTGTTTATGTTTGAAAATATTGAAATTTGCTGACAAATAATTGATAACACACACACGATAATCGATTACCACCCTAAAAAAATTTTGAAAACACTTTGTAAATCATGTAATCAATTACGTATATTTGATAATCGAATAACATTGTGTTGACTCTTGAAAAAACATAATTTTAAAGTCAATTTAAGTGGTTTCTACCTTTTTCACTTGGAAAACATTACCTTCCTCTTTTTCTTCTTTGTTGATATTATTGTCTTCATGAAAATCCAACTAAATTCTTAAGAAAAATCTTATTCACAGTGTCATATCCTAATTTTTACCACTAAGATCTCACTCATCATATCATTTACATCTTATCAAGATCACAAACATGGTATCCTTCTAACCTTCACCTCTTTGATTTTACGTTTGGAGAGAGATCACCAAGCACCTTTGTGTTCTTGTTGCCTCTATATTTTCTTACATTCTAACATTTCTAACCTTATTCAAAATACAAAAATATGTGGTGTTTTCTCTTTCTTATTGTACAAGGTAGGTACTTGCAATCAATGAATCAAGCATGGTTTCTAAATTAGAATTTTGGTGTCCAAAATCGAAGTCTTGTCAACAAATGGTTCACAAGAGCCTTCATTTCAAGGCATGGCCTATAATCTTATGTCACACTCATGTCAAGTTTCATTCAACATCATTTGGTCATGAGAAGCTCAAGTTTGGTATATTATTTTCAAAGATGATTCAAGTATGGTTCATGTGTTTGTTTTCATGCCATCTCCATCCAATTATCAAGAAATCATCCAAGATTATTCAAATGAGGAAGCAAGTTTCCTTCATGTGGTGTTCAAATGTTTATTTTGGATGCAAGAAATTGCAAGAAACCTCAAGTTGTATGTTTCGTTGGCCTAAAATCAAGTATGACATGTCACTTGGTCCAAACACCATAACTTCTCATTTCTCAACATTTTTGGAATCTACTTTGAGCCAAATATCACATTTGAACTCCTCTACAACTTTGTTTCAAGGATAAAACATCAATTCAACCTCTAAACTCATCAATTTTAGGATTTGCTAAACTGCTCATGTGTGCACAAAAGTAGCCTCAAGACCTGGTTGTCCTAATGCCTGGCCTAGAATTTTAGGTCATGACATTAACTTTGATTTAATTTCATTTTCAATCCAAGCATCATTTTGATGTGTTTCTTTTTTCATTTGATTCTTTGCCATAAGAAGATCATTTGGCAAAAAGAAAATTCAAGAACGAACGGATGGATTCCATTTGCCCTAAGTTCAAACATGGTGTTATGAACTTTGTTCTCCATACAAGTTTTAGGTCATGATTTTCACTCCAATCTCAATTTGAGACCACAAGCACATGTGCAACTCCTATGTGAACCAAAAACGCGTGCAAACAAACACAAAACGACTTGTTTTTATCACAAATTCACGCATTTCATGTTACATTTCACAGGGATTGCAAAAAACCAAAACTTAACCCTAACTCGCACGAATTCATCACAATTTCAAACGTACCATGACCTTACTTCATTTCTAATAAGTAGAGGATAATTTTTCCTTCATTTCCAAGCTTTAATAGCCAAAGAAACTCTGAAACCATTTGAACCTGATACCTCCAAAAATCATAAATCCATTTTCTTAATTAAAGCTTGTTTTGCTTCGTTTCTTCGCCTAGAATCACTCATCGGCACCTTCTGAAGCTAACTGAAGCATTGTCGTACTTTGAAGCTTCCTGAATCAAGATTTCTATTTTCACCATTGTTGACCTTCGAAACTTCAACTAAAAAGGTAGCTACGAGTAACATTTTTTAGTAAACAAGTTACTAGTCTCTTCGTCTTGTTTCACTAATCAAAAGCCCTTTATCACCTTGATTTTATATTACATATCCATCATTTAATTTTACTTTGAAGAACTAGGATTCTTCACGTGTTTGAGCAAATTCTCTCTACTCAGAGAAAATTAATTGCTCTAGTGCAGAAAGACAAGAACGATAAAGTATTACGCACTTGAATCCATGCTTAATTCTGTCTAAAAACACGAGTTCATGGATTTGCAAAATTAAGCTGAAGGTTGAAGACGAAGTTGCTTCGCACGCTTTGGTGCCAAATCCAAATCATGGCTAATAGAAACCCGACATACATCTAGTCATTGTTCTTTTTCATTTTTAAATTGCTTTTATTTTCTTTTTCTTTTCTGATTTAATTTTAGATCATTTTTAATGCTTTTTTATTTTCAAACTTTTTCATACTTTTTTAAAAATATTTTCTACCACATATCTATTTTTTATAATTTTTAAAAACCATTTTGCATTTAATTTATATTTTCTTCCCTTTTCATTTAATTTCCACTTTCAATTTTATTTTTGATCATTTTCAAAAAAATTTGCATCCAACTTTTAAGATCCTTTTATTTGCAATAGTTTGGACTTGTCTTAATTTTCTCCGCTATTTTTTTTTGCATTTGGATGCTTTCTGTAGATTTTTCCTTTTAATTTTCGTTATTTTAATCATTTTATTTGATTTTATTTTATTTTTATTCATATTTTTTAATATTTATGATTTTTGATGATGGCTTGGTTGATCATGTGTTCAACATTTCAAATTCTTGAATGATGATTCATTGATTGATTCAACCTTTTCTGGTTCAAACTTGCTTATGATTGATCATCTGATTATTTATGGTACTTTACATTAGAGATAGGTTATCCCTAGTTGGGTCATACTTTGATCCTTTGGCTTATTTTATAAATGTTCACATACATGATTGCCTCAACTTTCATCTCTTCTTCTTATTCTTCTTCTTATTATTATTATTATTATTATTATTCTATTGTTTTGTTGACTTTTATGTTGCATATTTTAGGAGACTAACTTTGTGTTAGTTTTATAACATGTTTGACACATACATTGTTATTGACCGACCTCAGATAGGTGTGACTTCTACATAAGCCCACTTACGATTGCTTAACATAGCACTAAATTATCCTGATTCGATTAAATTCTCATTAACATTAACATTAACATATTAATTGTGCTAATATCTAACATTTATTATTATGCTCTTTACATTTATGTC